CAGAGCAAAGTTGCTGTGCTGGAAAATGCTCGTCGCTCAGTTTTGGCCTTTGTTATCTAAAAATCTCTGGATGACACCTAAAGGGCCAAGGTAGTGAGAGTGACATGTGGCCTGAGAGACCCTCTAGCATCATTTGGGGCCAGTCAAATAAGAGTACTCCCCTTGTTTATGCACTTTGCTTGTTATTATCTCTAGTCCATAAATTACCGCAGTCAGGGACCGTCCAAACAGGACAAGGTGGACCTTGTCGCCAGGAGGCTGTGATCTGCCTGGACACAGGAGAGAGCTGGGGAGACTCTGCTCCTGGGAGCTAGCAGCCCTGCAGTACTGGGGCAGCCGGTAATGATTTCTGAGGCTCAATATCCAAAGGAAAAGTCAGAGCCAACTATTTAAAAGACTTACAGGAATTTGCTGGAAGCGGCTTGCTCGCACTATTCTGCTTTTGTCTGAAGAAGTCACTGAAACCTTGATTCCTCCAGTTGCAACCAAAGATCCTTCCTCTTCTCAGTGCAGCTCCAGGCTGCAAAAATAGCATCATCTAATTAAAGATTAGTTCCCCCTCTCCTCTTCTGAAAAATTAATAATTCTGACCGAATCACTGACACACGATAAATACTGAACCTCACATTGCGGGGTTGCCAGCTGTTCTGCAGAACTGAAATTTCATGTCCTTCTGTGTCAGTCTGTGCCATTGAAGGTCACCAGAGTTGCATGTGAAGATTAAGAAAGGCAGGTTCATGTGGAAACTGGTTATTTTATTGAAAACTGAACACAGTATTCTGAAGTGATCAATTTTAAGAAGACTGAGCATGCAGTTGGGGGGAAAAAATAAATTTTATTTAAATTAGCTCTTTTTCTTGTCTGTTATCCTCAGCTAACTTTTTGTTTCCTCTCCTAGTGTGTTGTGGCAGTTCAGCTTGCATTGATCCAAATTGGGCTTCAGCTGCCTCTCTTAAATTAAGAGTTACTCTGCGTGGAACCAATGATTTCTAAATTATTTCCTGTGTCAATTGCCAAATAGCTCTAAATCCAACGCTGTAGGAGAGGATTTCTGGAGCATTCACTTACTCATTCTGAGGAAACAAAACAGTCATTTTCAATTTTTTTTTTTTTCTTTACAGTTGACGAAAACACATGTAACTTGCTGAGCATCTCAGCTGTGTTTGAATGATTGAATCAGACCCATTACTTCTTAGCTGGTTGCAGGAAGTGAAATTATTTCCCGAGGGGTTGTATTACAAGCAAGCATGACTGCTGCTCTCAGGCTCTGAATAGTTTTGCTTTACCTGAATTGGCAGGCAAGTTTTTGGGCACATTTAGGGGAAATCCAGATTAAAAAAACCAACCCTTTGTAACAAGGGTGAATTCAGATCTGATACTGCCTCCGTTACCAGTGCTATTCAAGGCTTCTCCTTCCCACGGATATTGAACTAAATAAACTTAAAGTCAGAGAGGGCATTGCTTTAATCACCAGGCTCTGAATACACCATTCTTCAGCAAAAACCTGCTCGGCTATTATAGGTTTCCATGTCTTTAATAGCCAGCCTAATAGCTGATAGATTCACACTTCCCAAATAAGAGGCAGTTTTACCAGTGGCTTTAAATCATTCCCTGTGGAAATAGAGTTGCATTAAATCCTAGTAATTAGGGAATTTCAGCTGTCTTCAGTGCTTTTGACTCTGCAGTTGCCTTGAGAGTTGGGATCCTTCTATGTCCTGCTAACGTGAACCTTCTCTCTGCTCACGTGTGTGCATGGACATGCTCACACCCCCTTTAACTCTTTGTCTTCCCCAGTAAGAAATGCATTTTCTGATTACATTGTTATTTGCAAAACCACCGCAGAAAAAAAAAAGTGTATGATCGACAGTGAGTCCATTTTAAATCAGCTCTTGTGTTAACATCTGCTACAACATTCGTTTTGTACTATTTGAAAATGTGAAGTGATGTTTCTGTCGATGACTATTTCAGGGTTATTTTTTCTTTCTGCTGATGAATAACATAAAGAATAGGATGATATTTTCCCAGGCGCTCTTTATCACAGTGGCTCTCCTGCGAGCTCTCCTGGCTTGCTATAACTCCTGCTGCGAAGCACCTGACACAAACGCATTAGAAACCCTTTCAGTGCTCTATTGATTAGCATTACTAAGTGCTGCAAATGCATGTGCATCTGGCTCACATATACTGTGGACAAAGCAGAAATGAAAGCTGCAAACAGCATCCATGAATATTGGTTTGACAGCAACTTCAATCTCCTTTGACTATGTTTGTGCTCCCTCTTTACTAGCAATCGTGGGATGTTTGTAGAAATGGGTTTTTGCTCACTGATGGTGTTGTGATGGTGAATTTTTCATGAGCACCCAGAGCAGAAAGTATTGCACGGCCATCCTGAGCTGGTCCAAAGCCACTCAGAATCAATGGGATTTTTCCAGGGAATTTGGTGGACTTTGGATCAGGCCCAGTAGGCACTGAGGAATTGTCTAATGAAAGAGCAGCCCTGAAACCGCATGATTTAGACAGCCACTCACCCAGCACAAATAGTAAATTACAAATAGCAGATAATGGCAGCAATAGGCATGAATAGTCTGTAGTCAGCAATTCACAGCCTGAAATACGTTGGCATAAACAATGCATCAAATAATTCCAGCTAACCAACACATTTGTGAAAATCCAAGCCTGTTTATGGATAATTTTCAAAAAGGCAAGTTCAGCAAGAAAAATATTTTCAAGAAAAAGAACGTATCCCTTTTTGCTTACTGATCATTTAGAAATGTTTTTTGGGTATGAGCTGTCCTTGCAAGGCACTGAATGACCTCAGGTAGGACCTGATGTGGGTGCTGGGCAGCCCAGCTTAGCCCTTACTCTGCTTTGGTTTCACTTTTAGTAGTTTTCCGCTTAGGCTCCATTCTCACGTACCTTTGCTGATGAGACTGAGTCATTTGGAGCAGCGAGGGTGAAAGCTGCCTGCAGTAAGCTGCAAAAGGATCTTGCAGCCCTGAGTGAGCTGGAAGGAAAACAGAAGGTGAAATTTGGAGTAGTTACATAGATAGAGAGGAAAAAAAAGTCCCAAATTCACATGCATAGGAAAAATCTCTGCAGTGACCCTCACCACTCTGAAACAAGATCTTGGCTTGATCATAAATATTGCGATGAGAAGTTCTATGCAGTACTCTGTATCAATAAGAAGAGCAAGCTGAAGGCTGGGAATGATGATGATAACTTTTCACCTGCTAGCTATATCACCTCTTGCTCTGTGCTCTCATGTGGGAAAGGCAGCTGCTGTGAATCCCTGGCCATGGGCTCTCAGGGTGTGGGGATGGAGCTGCTGTCAGCATCATGTGTGCAGTAGCAGATTAGCGGTGAGGGCTGGTGGGGGACCAACAGCACCCAAAATCAGTGAGGATGGACACACAGGAGCAGGTAGTGTAGGTAGGCTGAAAAGCAAGGTGTGGCACTTTCAGGTTGCTTTTTTCCTATGCTACCAGGTTTCCCCTTGTAAGAGCATGCTGTTCCCACCCTAAAGGGTGCCCAGGAAAGAGAAGTTTCTGGCAAGTCACCACAGCACCGAGCGGTGCAAAAATACAGATGAGTGAAATGGTCATTCTGCCTTTGTGCAGGGCTCGGGTTGTGCATGTCAAATCCAGCAAGGTTGTGCAGTAAAATAAAGCCTGCAGCTATGCACTGAACAGTGTTTATAGGGGAAAAAAAATTGCTTCAGGACTCACTAAATGAGATGCATGTGCTTAATGCGTGGAGGGCTGTGGGGAAAAATAGTCGTGATGGTATTTAGAGATGGTATCATTATGTATGTGCAAGGAGAAAGAAAATAACCAAATCCAAGGAGCTCAGGAGCTTTCACGCTGAAATTTCCCAGCTTCTGGCTTTGCAGCTGCAGCAACGTCCCTTTAATATTACTGTTAAGTTTGCATTGTGCGTGGTAGCCCAGGGCACAGCACACGTGGAGCAGGTCAGGAGCTCCACATCTGTTGCAGGGTGATGAGCAGAGGTCAGAGAAAGCCGGCCAGCCTCTGCGACGCAGCGTGCAGCAGCGCACAAGTGGTTAACAGGCTACCGCCCTCCTATAGGCACCGGCTTCTACAGGCATCAGCTTTGTTTCTCTACATTCCCGCTCCCCCAGCCCCTGTAAAAATTTTTCTCCCCGCCTCCTGCCTCTCTCATGGGGGATCTCGCTCTTCCCGTCGTTGAGCTGTGCTTTATATTAATGCTGCAAATAGAGAGTGGCCATCGTTTGTAATTTAATTAGCATCATCCCCAGGAACTTAAAGCATGACAGAGCAAATTAGAGGTGATGTATGAAAATGATGCATGGGTGTGGGTAGACGTTTAACCGCTTTCATGCCATCATGCTTTGTAGATGATTGACACAGGATACAGCTTTCTGGGCATGTGGAAATCACTAAATGGGGATGTTTAGTCTCTGCCCTGGTGTCTCACAAATTTAGGGTGGCTACTGTTAAAAAAGAAAATGAAATCTAAAGCTGCCTACTAACTTTCCATCTCAATTTCTGTCCCACAGATTTTTTTTCTTAATGCAGAGTTCCTTTGGGTGAAACTCCTTCATTTCTCGGTATTAAAAAAAATGCTCAGCATTGTTTTTGTTTATTGGACATTAGATTTTTTTTTTTAAGGATATTGGATGGTGAGCCCCTGAGTCAGATTGTGAGGGAGGTTGTGGGATTACCATCAGTGGAGATTTTTATGCACAGGCTGGGCAAACGTCGGCCAGGAACTCTTAGCAGCTATCAGGATCGTTATAGCTATTTTAAGATACAGCAGCAGCTGGAAGCCTCATCTGACAGATGTGCCACTATGTTGCCCAAAGGTAGAGTAAGAGACAGTCCCAAAGAGCTTGCAAGCAAAGCCAAGGCTGGTGCACAAAACAAAGCTAAAATCAGCGGGGAATGAGCACGGCTTTGCAGAAAGATTGATGCATGCAGGCACTTGTCTCTTCACTGTGCATTGTTTTTGTGTCTTTGCTGTAGGTGTCACAGCCTCATCGCACCTCTTTGACTACAGCTCCACTGCCAATGGGGGCGACAGCTCTTTCTACACCTCTCTGATTTCGGACGTCCACTACACCACCCCACGGGACTCCACCTATTTCACTGGAATGTATAAGCAGGAAAACACCCCCATTCCCTGTTCGGGCAGCACAGAGGGGTTTAACACGCTGGGACATCCTGTTCAAGATGTGACTGGGTTTGAGTCCCGTGGCTTGTTTAGCTCAGATTCGGGAATAGAAATGACTCCTGCAGAGTCTACTGAAGTTGATAAAACCTTAGCAGATCCCATGAAAGTAGAAGCTTATAAATACATGGACATAAGTAGATCAGAAGAAATAAAATACCAAGAAAAACATGACCCTGACTCAGAAGATGAGAGCCCAGGCCATATCGATAAGTAC